GGACAGACAGACAGAAAGATAGAAACACACACACAGAGAGAGAGAGAGAGAGAGAGAGAGAGATAGAAACAGACACGGACAGACAGATAGACAGATAGAAACAGAGAGAGAGAGAGAGAGAGAGAGAGAGAGAGAGAGAGAGAGAGAGAGAGAGAGAGAGAGAGAGAGAGAGAGAGAGTTGCACAGGTCGGATACTGCCTAGAGGTAGGTATGGCCCAATTCACCCCTTGTCCGTGAACCTTCTGTGACTTCTTCTTCTTCTTTTCTTTTCTTTTCTTTTCTTTCTTTCTTTCTTTCTATTCTTTTTTTTAATCATTAAATTCTGGATGTCCGGAGTTTTCCGGGTGTCAGTCCGACTGGATGTTCCGCTGTGTCCGGGTTTGGGTCTGGTGTAACCATGGATTAAATCAAGTGGTATTGTGCCTTACAGTTCTTTTTTCTCTGGAATTGTGAATGTAGCTCGTTGTTTGGAGGATCTAATTTGTGACAAGCATGCAAGGAACATGTTATCATTTATTGATGGTTGTTGAAATCGTGGCAGGGGCACAAAGCTGGTCCTTGCGAGCTCTGGAAATGGCCATGGTGGCCGGTCTAATCCACTCTCAGTGCAGCTTGAGTTGGGAGAGGGGGAGAAGATCAGTGCCATTGAGTGGTTGGTATTTGAAAGCAGCAATGGAAGGTTTGCAAGGGATGGAAAGCATAGAGGAGGAGGAGGAGGTCATCTTGGGGGCATTGTCGGGTGTATCATGGTGGGAACAACATCTGGCTATTTTCACACCTTGTCTGACACAGGCAAACTGCTTCTCAAGCAGGTACGCTCATAGTTCGTGGTTGTGTTTTTGAGTTGGTTTTGCTTGAAACTAATCTGCCGTTTTCCTGCGCTGTGTCTGCAGACTCTGCTCAGCAATGAGGTCCTTTCTATAAGGCCGGGTAACTGGGGCCCCAAACGTCTGCTGTTGATGCGATGTGTCGAGTTTGCATGTGTGTGTGTGTGTGTGTGTGTGTGTGTGTGTGTGTGTGTGTGTGTGTGTGTGTGTTACATGTTGTACAGGCCCCAACCTGTTTCCCTACAGGGAAACTTCCAGGCTCTTGCCTAGAAGCTTCCTTCTGACAAGGCCTACAGGCCCCAGCCTGTTTCCCTACAGGGAAACTTCCAGGCTCTTGCCTGGAAGCTTCCTTCTGACAGGGCCT